TACTCTCATAGAGTTGAAGCGGTCAAATTTTTGGGTGACATTTAGATGATGTAGAAAAAGTTTATCCAGGTCAATGTGGAATATAATTACCGTTAGTTTATCCATTCCAGGATTAGCAGGAAGATAGTCGGGGGGACTTCTCACTCTCCATCATCTATGGAAGTCCGAATCCCTATAAGCATAAAGACCTTTGGGAGGAGTTCATAGTTATCGGGCAACACATGGATCACTTTTGGCTCTTTATTAGGGATTTTAATGCCATCTTGGATGTGGATGACTGAAGAGGGGGTGGTTAAATGGTCTAAAGGTTGCGTTCTCTTTAATCACTTCATTAATGTCAATTCCTTCCAACAGCTTGATTATGTAGGACCGAACTTTACGTGGCGACGTGGGCCCTATTTCAATGATTTCATAGAGTTATTTGCAATCAGAGATGGTTCAACCAATTTATGGAGGTCATCGTTCACCATATCTCGAAAGTGTACTCGGATCATAGGTCTCTCCTGATCATCCCTTATACCTGTCACACTCACAATAAGGACCCCAAGCCTTTTTAGTTTTAAGCTACGTGGTTATCCCATCATGATATCCCTAACTTAGTTAGGAGAAATTGGGAAAACCATCTCTTCATCCAGAAGAATATTATTAATTTCAACGAGACTGTGCAGAATTAGAATAGAAATGTGCTTGACCATATCACTAAGAAAAAATGCATCATTTTGGCAAGATTGAATTAGATCCAATAGGCACTAGAAAGATACCATTCTGTTAGGCTTTAAGAGTTAGAGAAATCCTTGGAAGAGGAATTAGAGGAGGTGTTACTACAAGAAGAAATGCTCTAGAAGCAACAATATCATTGTAATTGGATTTCTTTAGAGAACAGAAGCACCAAATACTTTCATGCTCAAATCACCTCTAGAAGAAAAAAGAGCAAAATTAGCATGCTGAAGGATGAGGATAGAAATTGGAGTACCGATGAAGGATATGTTCGGAGAATGGCCTCCCCTTTTTTTAAACACCTTTATACTGCCAAAGAGAGATCTATACTGCATTACCATGTAAGAGGTTTATTCCCAAAGTTAACAACTACTATGGTTGCTCAGTTGGACTCTAAGGTAATGGACTATGAAATTTATGACACTTTATTTAGCATACACTCGTTGAAGGCACCCGGTGTAGATGGTCTTCACACGATGTTATTCCAAAACCAATAAGAGACTGTAGGCGAATCAATTTGTGCAATGGTCAGGGGTATTTTTCAAGGTGAATAGTTATTGGCTGAGATTAATAAGACCCTTATTACTCTCATCCCTAGAGTTGCAAAACCGAAGACTATTAAAGAATTTTATCCAATCAGTTTATTAACGATTTTATATAAAATTGCTACCAAACTCATTGCCAATAGACTCAAGAGCCTTATACATTTTTTGGTTGGTCCTACCCAAGCTAGCTTTGTAGCTAAGCGTAATATCACAGATAACATTTTATTATTGCCCAAGAAATGGTCCACTCTATGCGGAATTTATAGGAAAAAGATAAATGAATGACCATTAAAGTGGACTTAGAAAAAACTTATGATCGCATCAGATGGGAATATATGGAGGACATTCTACTTGATGTTAGTCTCCCTCGTAACCTTATCAGAGTCATCATGCATTATATCTCCTTTTGCTCCATGCAATTGTTGTGGAATGGTTGTCTCACACCAGGAATTATACCCTACTAGAGGCATTCGACCAGGGGACCCACTTTCACCTTATATATTTATGTTGCGTATGGAACGACTATCCTATCGCATCAATAGTTTGGTGAGAAATGGTATGTGAAAGCCGATCTGCCTTAGTAAGAAAGACTCTGTCCTCTCACACCTTTTTTTTTTGATGACCTTGTGATTATTGGGAAAGCCACTAATGACCAAACTTAGGTTATAAAGAAGATTTTAGAGGAATTCTGTGTGAATTTGAGCCACAAAGTGAGTGCGACGAAGACACTTGCCTTCTTTTCTTGTAATTTTAACACAAGTGAGGTTAGTCGTATTAGCAAAATATTTAGTTTTTAAGTGTCTAATAATCTTGGTAAGTATTTGGGTATTCCGTTGTTACATGATAGAGTCAATAAAGATATTTATCGTTAATTCTTGAGAAGATTAACCAGAAGCTATCTGGTTGGAATGTTAACTTCATTTCTTTTGCAAGGCGTTTAACTTTGGTCAAATCTGTCCTTATGACTATCTTTGCTTATGCTATACAGACCACAATTTTGTTCAAAACCTTATGTGATCAGATTATAGCTGTGGTCAGGAAGTTTCTCTAGGGCTAGGGGAATGACAACAAGAAAATTAGTCTTATCAGTTGAGATGATATGTGCATGTCTTATGATGCTAGAAGAAACGACATTCGATCTATCCATAAGCAAAACCAAGAATTCTTAATGAAATTAGGCTTTATTATGGTTACGAAGCCCGACCTCTTATGGGTTCAGGTCCTCACTCACAAGTACAGGTGATTTAGCTTATCGTGGAATTATAAGCCAATTTGACTGACCTTCCATCTTTGGTGTAACCTTAACCATCTCCAGACGGACCTTCGAGTTCACATCAAATGGTCCATTAGTTCGGAGAGAAATGTTAAGTTTTGGGAAGACTGTTGGTTAGATGACCTGGGGCCGCTTAAGCTTTTGGCTTTCGCGCTTATTGAGGAACAAGATCTCTATAGATGTGCCAGGGACTATGTGGTG